ATCCAGGAACAACGTTGAACTTAGGCAAAGGTCTGTGTTTGATGTATGCAGTACCTTCACAATGTAATGAAGCATTTTGCACAAAATTAGGAAATGATACTAAATTTTTCAAGACGTGCAGCTCAGAACATTGCCAATGTTCAAATGGTCAACCACACTTGCAATATGGTGGCGATGGCACTGTTTTTGATCCTTGTTCCAGAATTTACAATCGACCTCAGACTCTTGGCTGCTAAACAAAACGCAAAATATATATTCATATCAACTTTCAACTTTTGAAAGTTCTTCCTATCTATATCTGATTTTTAATTCCATTGATATTTTTCTCTATGCAATTGTTATACTTGAAGTATTGGAATAAAGAATCTTATTTTGTTTAATTGTATATATGAAATAGAAGATGTTGCTATTAATGGTTTTTCTACATTTTGACTATATAGTTCCAATACATTTCTTAGTGATATCAATACGCTCAGTAGGTAATTGAATACCGATGACTTTTTTTTTCATAAATCATTGCATTTTACTAAAGCCTCGAAAAACTTCACAAAGTTAAAACTCTTTATAAAATGAAGTCTGATATGAGAGAGAAGAACAAGTTACTTGCTGAATTAGTGAAATGTATTGTTGTCTAATAAATAATTTAAAGTATTTCTTCGAACAAGATCTCGAACTATAGAATGAACTCAAGAGAAGCTAGAAACGCTGACAGTGAAAACTTATAGTTGAGGGTTCATTGTAGAGAGCATATGGCATTCGAATATGCCTCTCAGAATAATTATCGAAAAAAGAGAAAAACGAATTTTCATTGTAAAACATTCCGGTAGTTATTTCTAATTATTTGACCGATTTGTATGTTCTCAAGAGCCAATCATATGAATAAATTAGGTAGGACGAAGGATGGTTGTTTCCTGGTTCCCATTTGTTGAATTCAGGTGTGGAAGTTTTCGATATGCAGGTGCTTTATAAATGATAGTTTCTAGGAACAGTCAGCTCAACACATGTGTGATTACCCGACTTAATTTCAATACTAAAAATATCACTTTATTCGAAGTTTGTCGCCTGAATGAACACATGTCCTTGCTTTGAAAGATTACACCACTTAATTCCTCTCAAATAAAGCAAGCACTGGAAGAAAATTCTTTCAGTGGTTCCTTGTCTCATTCGACTAAGTCTGGCAATGAGAGACGCGTCGCGTCGCACAGACATACTAGGGTTACTATTGTTTGAGTGGCACTTTATTGAGGAGAAGAAATTGATCATTCTTGCGTACACATACATGTTGAAATAACTCTTGCACCAGAAAGAAATGTGTTGAAAGCAAAATATATGTGTTCAAGAAACCGCTATTATTTGAAAAGCACATGCATATCGAAAACTTCCACACCTGAATTCAACAATTGGGAACCAGGAAACAACCATCCTTCGTCCTACCTAACTTATTCATATGATTGGCTATTGAGAACATACAAATCGGTCAAATTATTAGAAATAACTACCGGAATGTTTTACAATGAAAATTAGTTTTCCTTATTTTTCTCTAATTATTCTGAGATGCATATTCTAATGTCATATGCTCTCTTCAATGAACCCTGAGCTATAAGTTTTCACTGTCAGCTTTTCTAGCTTCTCCTGAGTTCATTCTATAGTTCGAGATCTTGTTCGAAGAAATACTTTAAATTATTTATTAGACAACAACACATTTCACTAATTCAGCAAGTAACTTGTTCTTCTCTCTCATATCAGACTTCATTTTATATAGAGTTTTAACTTTGTGAAATTTTTCAAGGCTTTAGTAAAATGCAATGATTTAAGAAAAAAAAAGTCATCGGTATTCAATTACCTACTGAGCGTATTGATATCACTAAGAAATGTATTGGAACTAGTGAAAATGTAGAAAAACCATTAATAGCAACATCTTCTATTTCATATATACAATTAAACAAAATAAAATTCTTTATTACAATACTTCAAGTATAACAATTGCATAGAAAAAAATATCAATGGAATTAAAAATCAGATATAGATAGGAAGAACTTTCAAAAGTTGAAAGTTGATATGAATATATATTTTGCGTTTTGTTTAGTAGCCAAGAGTCTGAGGTCGATTGCAAATTTTGGAACGAGGATCAAAAACAGTGCCATCGCCACAATGTTGCAAATGTGGTTGACCATTTGAACATTGGCAATGTTCTGAGCTGCACGTCTTGAAAAACTTAATATCATTTCCTAATTTTGTGCAAAATGCTTCATTACATTGTGGAGGTACTGCATACATCAAATACAGGCCTTTGCCTAAATGCAACGTTGTTCCTGGATATTGTCTCCGTAAGTTAGTAATATCGGCGTTACTGCTATTATAATACACAACTGTGGATTGTTTCGGTGCTATATGGATTGCTTTCGAAATCACATCGTCAATTGGCCCAACGACGGTAAAATAGAAATCAGCTACTCTTGTTGTTTTCAAACTCATTATTTCAAGGACTTCAATATCCTTTAAAGATGAGTCGAAGCTGGGAATTACAAAACCTTCATGGTTCACGATAGTGTGTGGAAATGAAATTACGACAGTTTGTTGCAGAAACAAAATTATGCACATAAATTGTAAGTAAGCCATGGTATGATATTAGTTGAGAAACTTCTAAATAGAAATAGTAAAGAATACATTGGTTAAACGAGCCACACTAGAAGTTGAACGCTTACAGTAAGAAGTCACACAACAACAACAGAAAAGATACCTTGATTTGTACAGCTCATCTGTTTTGAAAAACGTCGAAACAAATTTTCCTACGAAGCATGTTGAAAAAGTGTTCTTCTACCTAGATCAGGTTAGTCTTTTGAGAAGTCTTTCCGAGCTACGTTTTCATACATGTTTTAGTCAGATTTATTCTTGATTGTGCTGTATCATCTGATATGCAGTACTGTGAGACACTAATATATACAGAGTGGCTTATTAATAACTTTACTTTAAAAAATTGAAATAACTCTGCTCTATCTTAATCTATTGGGCTCGTTTTTCTTTTCGATAATACAGGTGAATTCAAGCTTTTCTTTTGAGAAGAAAAAAAAACATAAAAAATATTGCCATAAGCTATTTGCATTGAATTCAATAAGAAAGTATAACCTTGTATGAGTTATCCTAATTATTAAATACACTAAACTCTATTAATTACTTTGGAAGACAAAAGCTTTATTGATTAAAGACTTCCTATTTATTTTAATCCAAAATTTTAAGTTTGATTTTGATTTTAAAATAAAGTTGAACTTTTAGTTATATTTTAGAAATAAAAATTCAATGTGTATTTTTATTTTACGACGAAAATTTGAGTTTTTTTCCTTTTGATAACGTAAAATTAAAATGAAACACCTAGTTTAATCAATATCACTCGTTGGTTGTACTAATATTTAATTCGACCTTTCATGGAGAACTTGTTGACTTAATGATATCAGATGTGCGAAAGTTTTCTTTCATGAATATACTACATGGGAAAAAAAAGAATCTATCTTGGAAGAATTGTTTTAGCACTAGTTTCACAAAAATAAACAATTCAAAGTTATCTATACGTACTTGTTATGAAGTTGTTTACGTTTCGATGTATGATATTGGTTTGGTGAATGTAAACTATATAAATAAAATATAGAATTAAATAACATGATCATTTTTATCCTACTTGTTATCACTTGCTTCAATTTGTCTAAAATCGATTATTATGCGACGAGTGAAAATGTGAAGATTTCTTGTGGTATTTATGTATAACATGTTTCATATCATGACTCTTTTTCCGTAAATTCAGAGAAGGGGATTTTGAGTACGGGACAAAATGCTTTTCCCATAAATGACACATGTTTACGAGAAAGAACACGATGAATTATATCAGATTTGATGAAATATAAGTTGTTTTTCTTCTCAGAGAACGGTAGTATGACTCATGTGAATGGGACAATCGTATTGATTGTTTTTCTCTTCTGAAATAGCTAGTATGTACACAGAATAAATAGGTTTTCACTTACAAAAATTTCTTAGACGAGCTCATACAGTTGAATTTTTCTAAAAAACTATTGTGAATACTTTGAAAATGACGAGCGTAGCATAGTGTAATTGGGTCATCGTCAATTGCTCCATATCAATTGAATTTGTTTTTAACTGGCACGTATGCTGACATGATTAATAAACGATTCAAAAATATTTCTATTATCAACGTCAAAATATAAAGCAGACAAATGTGTTTTGAATACTTTTTGATAGGAACATTATAGAAAATTCTAATTTTTAGCATTCAAAACAGAAGTCTCGGAATCATCGAAATATGATTGGTGAGCAATCGATCAAGCCAGTGAGTTCTTCATGAAAGTCTTTTGACTATCATATTCTGAAGTTATTTCCCTCCCATTTGAATCTTTTATTAGGATTAATCGATAGGAATAATTCTTCTCTTTGGATCGACACAAAGTCAATAGTCCTAACCTGTTCCATGCAAGAGTTTTAAGGTTTTTCGTGAGACTCTTGATTTCTGCGAATTAATGTGTAATCACTCGGAAAGATAATTCATCATACTGAGTCGAATGGTGATATTCATTTTTAGGTTCGAATCGATCTGGCAATGTTATCTCGATATTTCTGACATTCCACAATCAGCCTGCATATATATAATGAAGACATCGACATTTCAAAAATATTGCGCTAACAGTGTTAGATCAGTTCCAACGTAAAAACAAATATCATTATTATATTCAGCATGATGAAAAGCTTTCGCGAGTGATCAAAGTTCAATTGGCTGAGATCGAAAGTCTTATAACTCTCGAACGAGACAAGCTAAGAATGTCGGCTTTGTCTAGATCGAAAGAGAAATAGCTTCAAAATATTGCTTTCGAAATTCTCCAACAAGAACTCACCTCGTTGGATGAAATTTAGAATTTATTTTCATACACAACACGTATTTTTTTCGAATTAATATAAAATGTATGATAATATTTCTAAAACACAAATATAAATTTAATTTATTCACGAAACGAACATTCTGCTGTACCGAAAGTAGAAAATGGTCGTTTTGTTGATGATAATTGATATTGTCCATAACCAGATGATTTAACATTTTTCGTAGCAACTGTTGAAATACTTCGTTGGATTATAGTTGATTGAAGTTGTTTTGTATTAGGTAATGGCGTTAATACATCATCATTAGCAGATTTATAGCTCGTATTTAATGAACAGTTATACATATTTTTAGATGATCGTCGCGTAATTCGCTCTTCTTATGAAAACCAAAAGAAAATTACATATATATTTTTTAAAAGAATGAAATGATTTGTCTTAAAATTGATATAACGACTTCGAAGTTCATTTTTACATTCAATGATTTCTTGTAGAAGTCCTTTGGTTTAAATTAGACGTTTTTAATAGATTTTATATATTCAGAGAAACAAAACAATTCCAAATCAACTAACTCTTTTGAGATTCATGATCGCTTTCTTTAACATAAGGGTGGGTGTGAGTCCGAGTTCACCCACACCCACATCCCGGTTCTTGATTACATTTACTGCAAGCACTGCCAATAGCAATATCACGGTTTTTGTCACGATGTTCTTGTTCATGAATTTTATTGATTACTGTCGATTTATTTTCAGTAAGCCGAGTAATTCATGCAGCCTAATTGAAGACTTTTTTGGAAAATAAATTTATTGAAGAACTTCATCAAGAAATAAATCACTTTCAAGATAAGTCTATTCATACCAAAGAAATTCTAAGAGCATTCGTGTGTATAAGCCTTTCTTCTTAGGACAATGCCATTTTAGTGAATTTTTCGAAAAAAACCAATGTTTTGTGTTTTCTTAGACCATCTTCCAAATCGACTTAATTGAATTAGTGAAAGTATTCGTTTATCTGGCATCGTTTATTTTACGATATTAATATAATAATAAATGGAGAATATAAGTTTTTTTTATCATCAGAACAACGAACATGTAGGGTTGGAGAGCGAGATCTCCTATATCTGATAGAACATACATTACCAAGTTCACTTGCATACCGATGAGATTTTGACCGAAGGCGTCATCTCTTCACCGCAGCAATGGTAGAATGCTATGAAATTCTAATACATACACCATCAGATAGAGAGAATCTCTCTACAAATGTATATACATAGTTCACACTCAGGGTCAAAAAGCATGTCGTCATCATTTGCTGTTATATTTATATTTCATAATAGGATGTATTAGACAGTTCAATATTTTAACTAGTTCTATTGAGAACTTTATTTTTGCTGAGTTTGAATTTGCAAGTTCCCTAGGCAAAATCTTTGATGCTTCAGTGTCAGTTCGTTGCCAGATATGGTCAGAGTTCTGCAAGAAATCGCTGTGGCTGTGGCTGTGGGTGTGGATGTGGGAGTTAATCTTATCTCAACCCACACCCACACACCCTCTGTATGTTTGTTTTTCATCAAAATGTGAATCAGCACGACTTTGATGAAAGAAAAAGAAGAAAAGCATCAAAGAATGTGTGGAGAAATATGGCGTGGATGTCTGCATAAGAGCGTTTGACGAATAAGTTTGGAAATAACCACCTTCATATAAAAGAATTATTTGTCATCTGATTTTTCACTGCTTATCTTCATCATATAAAAGATGATAAAGGCGTTTAGAGGAGTTTGCTTTGTTTCTTCATATAATAGAATGCCTTACTACACACTTCATCTTATCTTGAGATACGGCCGCAAAATTTTGGACACGACAAAACAATCGAGTTAGCAGTTTGATGTAAATTTTTACACAACGAACAAAGAAAAAAGATGCATTTCTTGTAGATTGCTTTCTATAATTACAGGACGTATTAGTGATATTCTTTATTCAATAAATTATGTCCGACGATGAAGCACATCAAGATTTTCAAAGAGAAGAATCGATCCCGTTGGACGCTGCTTTAAAAGTCGGTGCTGATCACATCTGCCAATGTCGTCAACAAATAGATAAAAGGAATCCCGAATTCTTTGCTGAATCTGCTAAAGAGAAACTTCAAGAATTCACTTTGGTCGTCTGTGGTGGACCACGGACAGGTAAAAGCACACTGATTAATGCCATTCTCAATAAAAATCTTGCACCAGTTCGTTCGGGTTTTGCGCCTGTAACTATCGAGAATACCTGCTATAAACTCGATGGCATTTTTCCAGAGATTGTCGACGAACAAACAGGTAAAAAACAACAGGAATCACAACCATTTCAAATAAGTGTTTGGGACACAAAAGGAATTACCACATGGAATGAATCGGTTGTGAAAGTAGTTCGAGAGCAGAATCCTATGTGTGTTCTGTTGTGTTCATCGCCAGGTTCATTTGCCAAAGATGATTTTATCAAACCATTAATTCAAGAATGTGTCAATTGGAATGTATTAGTTGCTTTCGTCTGTACGAATCGATGGAATGACAGTGACATCAAACGGCAACGAGTCATGGAAGAATTTCACGATTTATTGAAGGTGCGTCTCAAATGAGAACAGAATTTTTGAATATTAAATCAAACGCTGTGTCTTAGATTTACAACACCAAAATTTGTGAAGAAGATGGTATTCGATATTATGGTGATATTGGACTGATCGCTATGGTCAATAGTGTACCGTATGTCAATAATCGTCTTGGAATCTATAAACCGAAAAGTGGTGTCGGTAGTTTACTCTATGGCATCATGAGATCATTGAATGACGAGAAATTGATGGGTTGGTGCTGTACATTGATGGAGAACGAAGGATTTTGGACACATATGCAAACTCAAATTCAAGAATTCTTTGCTGGAAAATTCGCGTATGGTAAATCGATCCTATGGTCATTGTCAAGATATATGACCATGATAAAATGAAAAACTTTTTTTACAGCAGCTTAAATAAATAAAAGACATATAGTTTCTAGTTTTTCGTCATTTCACGACGTTTCGTTAAATTTATTATCATTTTCAAGTAAAGGTACATGGGAAGTAATCATTTAAACAGAACAAAGTATAACATATAGAATAGTATAGGATAGGCGTAAATTATAATTAGTTAAGGGATCAGCTATTGAACTTTACAGAAAAAAAGCTTGTTAGCGCAGCCCCTTTGGGGCTGAAATGTGGAACTCACATATACACTCTAGCCTGATTAAACTAATACAAAATACGTAAAGTGATAAATCTCTCGTAGACTATAGCTGTCTTACAGGCTGATCGATATCTAGAATGATGACTTCTCTAATTTCTGCATTTCGAACAGAAATTTTTCATTTTTCTCTATGAGCGCCCTATTTTT